CCGCGGGTGGGCCCCCCACGCACGGGGGCTCCTGCAGGTGCCGCCGCCGCCGCCCCTGACTCAGCCCCGCATCAAAGTTTCCAGCCGGGACCGCACAGGACGCGCGGCCGCCGCCGCCCCCCGCCCGCAGCCCCCACCCCATCCCAACCCTCCCCCAGCACCGGCCGCGAGAAGCTTATCCCGGGAATGTCCAAATGCCGCCGGCGCGGCCCCAAAAAGCGCCGCGGGAACCCCGAATTTTGCGAGCCCCGAATTGCTCGGAGACCCCAAAGCCGGGAATGCGCAGTTTGCACAAAAACCGAGTCCCAGATCCCGGGATTCCCACCATCCCCACGCCCGGGAGTCCCGAATTCCGACAGCACCAAAATCCCTTGGGAGCCCCAAATCCCCACATTCTCGTAATTCCCGAGCCCAAGAGTCCCATTTCCCAACAGCCCCAAAATTAGCGAATTCTGGGAGCCTCAAATCCCGTGATTCCCGCGATCCCCGAGCTCACGAGACCCGAATTCCCGGAGCCCAAAATTCTGAGCTCCCTGAACTCCGAGAGTCCGAGGAATCCCCATTCCCGGGAGTGCCCGGTTTTCCCGGTGCCGGGAGACACAAATCCCGGGATTCCTGCTGTTCCCAAGACCGGGAGTCCCAAGTTCCAGGAGACCCAAATTCCGAGAGCCCCGACATCCCCAACACCGGGATCCCGGCGACCTCTCAGCCCCGGGAATCCCGAGATTCCAACGATCCCAGGAGCCCCGGGATGCTCCAGTCCCGGGATCCTCAAATTCCCTGGAACGCAGGGAGGGAGCACCTGGATCCTTCAGCTCCGGGTCCCCCAGGACCTCCGATCCCGGGATGGAGCCCCAAATCCCGGGATGGAGCCCCATACCCCGCCCCAGACAATCCCGGCAGTCCCGACAATCCCGGGAGCACCGGGACTCCCAAATCCCGGGACCCCCGGGCCCAGGAACGCCGGGATCCCTCATCCCCAGGATCGCCGAATCCCGGGAGATGAAGAATCCCCGTGATCCCCATCCCGGACTTTCCCGGGAACACCGGGAGGCGCAAAACCCCCAGCCCCGGCATTCCCGGGAGCACGGGGATCCGCCAGCTCCGAGAATCCCGGAATCCCGGGAAAAGCAGGAACCGCATCCCCGACATCCTCGGGATCCCCGGGATCCTCGATCCCCCCATTCCTGAGCGCCGGGTGTCCCGGGACGTCCCAAATCCCGGGGTTCGCGGCATCTCCCGCGCCCGAAACTTGCCCCAAACCCCGCGATTCCCGTGGCCCCCAGACCCCTGGATTCCCGGGATCCCCCGTGCCCCAAATCTCCCCTCCTGGGCACCCCCAAACCCCAACCCCCCTCCCCACGCGTGTCCGTGTCCCGCAGGGGCTCCGTGGCGGGCGCTGCTGGCGCTGCTGGGGCTGTGGCCGGGGCTGTGGCCGGGCCCGGGGCTGGCGCTCGCCCCCCGCCCACGCCCCCCGCCCACGGACACGCGCGGGGACCTGGACAGCGTCATCAACCTGGCCAAGGCCCTGCTCGGCGACACAAAGGCTTTCCTCGAGCTCCTCGTGGGTACCGCCCCCCCGCGAGACCCCCGCGACCCCCCTGCCCCGCGTGTCGGGGGCGGGGCCTGGCGCGGGCTGACCCCCCCCCTCACTCTTGTCGCGATAGAAGTCCCGATTCCCGGCCGAGGGGGAGCACAAGCTGGACTCGCTGCCCGTGCTGGCCATGAGCGCCCTGGAGCTGCCCAACATCCAGGTGGGGGACACGGACACGCGGGGGCGCGCGGAGAGTTTTGGGGGTGCCCCTGGCACGGGGGAGGGCTCCGCGAGGGAGGGGGGCTGGGTGCCGTGGGGTCCCCGTGGGTCTGGGGTCCCTCGTGAGTAATCCACGACCCCCTCGCGTCCGTTTGACACCCTCAGCCCCATCCCGTTGCTCCCGCTCCCCTTGAACATCCTGAACCCTCCTGAACCCCAAATCGCCCGAACCCCCTGAACGTCCCTGTGTCCCCTTGACCTCCCCTGGTGTCCCCAATGCCCCCTGACCCACCGGTGCCCCCCAGGCCTCGGCGCTGCTGCCCCGCCTGGGGTCTGACCTGCTGCGGTACCAGCGGCTCCTGGAATGGCTGCGCCGAGCGGGAGGGGCCCTGCGGGGGCTGGAGCCGGACCTGGGGGCTCTGCGGGCGCGCCTCGAGCGCCTGCGGGGTCGCGTGGAACACCTGGTAAGGTGCGGCTGGGTGTGGCCGGGGCTGTGCTTGGCGAGGTGGCGGGGGTGGGACTCGAACCCGCGGCAGGAGCAGTGCGGAGGGGGCGCGGCTTGGGGGCGTGGCCTCGGCCATGGGCGGGGCTTGTGGAAAGGGATTGTCCCGGCGTCTCCAGCCCAGGTGTCCCCCTCCCTGACCCCGTGTCCCCCCGAGGTGTCCCCCTCCCTGACCCCGTGCCCCCCCCAGGTGTGTCCCCGTGTCCCCTGACCCCGTGTCCCCCCGCAGGTGTCCCGGCTGTCGCTGCCCCGCCCCGCCGCGCCCCCCCCGGCCGTGTCGCCGCCGCCGGTGTCGCCGTGGGGCGCGGTGCGGGCCGCTCACGCCGTCACGCGGGGGCTGCACCTGTACCTGGACTGGGCGGCGCGCGGGCTCGTCCTGCTGCGCAACCGGCTCTGACCCCGGCCTAATTTATTCTAATTTATTCTCTGCCCACCGCTAATTATTATTATTATTATAATTATTAATATTGATATTATTTTATAATTATTTTTATTATTTTTATTAATAATATTACTATTGTTATTATTATTG